ATCGAGTATTGAACTTCTCAAGTTTCTCAGTGATCAGTTCATCCAAAATTCCACCATCAGTTAAGGTCTGAGCCAATTCCCGAATCTGATTGCGATTATCTTCCGGATGTCTCATTAAACGTTCCAAAGACTGAAAAAAGGTCAGGAAGAGGAGTTTATTTTCCCTTTTGTAAACAAGATTCCACAAAGCAATCACATTTTGCCTTTAGAAAGTAAGAAAAATTTCACATTTCGTGCACAATAAAGTAGAGCAAAAAGAGATAAAGATACTTATGTCCCATGTCTTGACAACACATGATCTGTACTACTTTTCGCCAAAACCAAAGATTTCTCACAAAGCAATAAATGCTGTGCTGGATTTTAAAAATGAAGACTATGCCCAATGAGTTTGGTGAAAGTATTCGTGTACTCTAAAATGAAAGGTTTGCTTGAGTATCTAAATGGATGAAGTTCAGCAGCAAAAATGGAATTCTCAATGCATCCACTGAAAGAATTTACTTAATTTCTACTAATTTGAAAGATTCCATGAATACAAAATAAGTAATAATAAACAGAGTTGCAGTGCTAGGATAAAAACTTGCTCTTTCTGAAGCCTTAGTCATTTTTCTGACTGGCTGAAGTGAGGTTGTGTTTTTCAAGAATGTGTATTTTATTGTCACCAAAAATTGTATATGACACCAGGATTAACACATTTGATTAGTTTCACTTAGGTGGGTTTGAATTCAAAACTTCATTTGTTGAATCAAGTGAGAACTTAGGCCTTGCTAAATTTTCTGCACCTTGTTCATAGGTAATATTGATTCGTATTTTGTTTAGAATGCCACTTATCAACACATGTGATTTGGGATTATTTAAGTCAGCACTTACATCCAAGCACTCAGAAATCTCTTCTGCACCTCCCTGGACATTTTCAGTTGCCTTGAGTTTCAGCTCAATCTCATTCAACCATTTATTTTCTGCATCCAAATACGACAACAATTCACGCCAACATGCCCATACCTCCTGAGGAGGGAAAGGATTATTGAGACTGAATATCACACAGCTAATTTTCACTCTAAAAGCATTCATGCTTCATCCCCAAGACAACACGGTAGATATCTGATGGTTATGGGGTCATATGGTTGATTTTTTTTTTTCCAGTATTCATATGATGCGAATTAATATAAAATGCAAGAAAACCATTTTGATTAAACAGAGCAAAACTACAGAAGATAACAAGAAAAAGTGAACACCTGCAAGACACAACTTCAATCTTCTGTCTCCTAAATTATCCACTTTTTATGTTTTCTGTAAAATTTTCTTATACCAATATCAAAATTTACAGAATTTTTAAAGACTCATGTTGGAAGTTTATGTCTTTATTATAAAATGCAGTTAGATTGTTTATATATTCTACATATTAAGTGCTTCATGCACAGGTTCATAAAATGTCTAAAAAGACAGCTTTCAAGAATTCAGACTAAAATCTCTATGGAAATTAATTCTAAACCACATTTAGTGCAATTTATAGACCACTTAAGTGCTAGAGTACGAAACAATGTTGTAAAATGTTCTTATTCTCCTGGAATTAAATTATTGTCTAATATTTTATTTATACAGTGCCTGAAGATACTTAAATAAGCAGATAAAAATGGTACTTTATACACAAACAAAACATTTGAACTCTCTATAAATCATCTTTTTGTTGTTCCTGGTTTTTTCATTAGCAGAAGTTATAATAATGTTACTGAAATTCATTGGGCTCTTGGCAGATCAATGTTCCCAGAGTGCAATTCATCTCACCTAACTTTGTTCACACTAAATGTGTCTGGTCTAGGAGGCAGTTACAGTCAGATATTACCATGTAAGAACACGTCATCAATGATCAGGGGAAATACAGACTACAGGTTTAAACTTACACACCTAATTTTCCACAGCAAAATTTAGATGAAGAAATTTTACTCAGGTATAGAATTGTCCTGTATGAGGTTAGCGCTTGAAAATTAGTCACAACAGAAAACCAGAAGTAATTGACTGTGAGCACTGTAAAATGTGCAAGTAGTCCTAGGGCAAGAACCTCCAGTGGAGTTGGCCAAACTGGCAGGGTCAACTCAAAATGCACAGGACATACAGATCACCTGCAGACCAAGTGCTATTCCCATGCTCAGATAACACCACCTGTTCACCTTCAGGGCCATTCAGCCAAAACCCTTACCCATGCAGAGAGAAGCCTAGAGGAGTTCAACAACACACCCTCACAGGGTTGCTACAAAGCCAGATTTCTGGCTTGTTCTCAGGAGGGATAAGAACCTTGAGCAGTCGTTGTTTCTGACCCAAGCACCATGTCTGAGGCTTCACTTTTACCATAACTCTCCAGAGTATATGATTCTCAAAATAATTTAGTGCATGGCTCATAACATGTGGCATTTGGTGTATGGCTCATAAAGTGAGGACAGCCTTGGGCTCCTCATGATGCCAAATGCTAATATCCCTGTGCTCTCTACCTTACTTTTGGCAGCTAGAACGGTTATAAATAAAAAGATTGACAAAGTATCCAACCTCCAAAGTTTTCCACTTCCCATTTAGCCTGCTGCAAAGTCTCTGGTAGCTGCCAATTAGAACATCGAGCTCCTTTTTCAAAGCCTCATGAGCTGCAGGTGGAGCCTTTGCTATAAAATTATTCACAGAATCTGTAATAAGCTTCACTTTCACTTCTTTCTGCATGGCTTCCTCCTTGGCCCTCTGAAATGAAAAGAAAACAAAAAAAACTGTAGTCTGGTTTAAGACTGAACGACTAGACTTTATGTACAACAAAAGCTTCAAAAAGATCTTTAAACACAGCTCAAGGAGTAAGTTCATCTGTTACCTTCAGTTCCTCAACGGCTTTCTGTAACTCATCAGGTGTTTTGTACTCAAAATCTCTTTCCAGATATTCTTCCTCAGCCTGTGTTATCCACTCATGCATCTCTGACAAATCCTTCCTGAGACTCACAGTTTTATCCAAACCACCTTTCAGTGCAGCCTTCTTAGCATAGGCCTTTAGGAAAGGAAAGATTACATGGTACTTGAAGCAAGGCTACTGCACAAATTTGGCAATATTTTAGCCTGAAAAGAACCAAATTAAATCCTATACTAATAACATTGCTGCAATTAGGAAGATGTTAATGAGTAGTTAGATAGATATGAATAGCAGGTAATCAAGTATTACATGTGTATATATCCTTTCTTTGGTGGTCACTGCTTAGCAGAACAATTTGCAATGATCCTAGGACAAGAACCTACACCATGTGCTGATGTCAGCAGAAAGCAAATGTGGAAGAAACACCCAGGGACTACCTTCTAAAAGATGTTAAAAGAGTAAGCACAGGAGACTTTGAAAGTGCATCCAAGGATGAAAACAGAGGCTCTGGAGTGTTAAAGCCAGATGATCTTCCAACATTACTAGAGAACAAAGCAATATGCTGATCTTTCTTCTGATGAAGCCATTAAGGAATGTCTCTGAAATGAGCATATCCTAAAAATAGGCAAGTAAAGACCAATCTCCTACCGGAAGGAACTGTTTATCTTAAAAGGGAAGAAATACTATTATTAAGTCCTTTGCCAATCACTATATGGGGCTCATATAACTGTGTTACACAGCTCACGTATAGAACCAGAACGAGATGATATTTTAGATCCCTTCCAAACCATTTATGAGTCTATGAATTGTGCATCAGCTGATCAAAATTGTGTCTAACTGACTGATCTTTCACTCAGTTCGTTTCAATCTTGATGCCATCTTTCAATGGCAAGTAAGCTGCACTGGTGCCATTCTCAGCGCTGGGTTTGCAGAGCTGATTGCCCCAATGTTCTGCTTTGTGGGGCTACTTCAGTGAACCTTATTTTAGGCAACATCAGGAAGAATTGCCTTAATATTTGGTCTTAATTTCTGACATTTATTGGTTTGTTAATCATCCTTGAGGAATGACTGTTAAACATAAATGCTGTTCTACATAAATGTTGTTTTACAGAACAAAATAGAGTAACAAGCAGCAAGAATAAAAGCAGAACAGTACGTGGCCCTGCACAATTGTCTCTTTCTCAGACACAGCACCAGAAGGGAGGGAAATCTCCCACTGCCTGAAAAGAGCATCTGAATGCCAATTGTAGCTCTCACAGTCATAGGAACCGTGTGTACATCACCTCCAGCTGACTTTTCCAAATCCTTTCAAGAAATCCCCACAGACCAAACTGATTTGTATACTTACCACTCCTGTATTTCAACAGCTGTCACTGAAGAAGTTGTGTTAAAACAGCCCACTGAGAAGCACTAATTTGTGCTGTGTATTGAATAAAATTATTACAGGCAGAGTTTCAGGGCAGTCAGAAAAAAAAGTGTGACAGACTTCTAAACTCATAAGGCAATACTTGAAATTTCTGTGATGGAAGTGCAAAGGTATCCAACTTGTTAATATCACCAAAATAAAAGCAATTAAACACTCCATATTAGTCAAAGGGGAAAGACTACAGAACTGGATCTTACAGAATTCATAACTATGTTTATCAGAAAGATATACAGAGACTATTTCCTGCATGTAAAGTGAATAATAATAATTTTAGAAAATATTAAACTACCTTAAAAGGTAATAGTTTTAATGTTATGCAAATATACATTAAGAAGGTAGACAAGAGAATGAGCAAGTAAGAAAAATTTGAAAGTAATACACCATGAACTTGGATGATACATCAGTTCCTTTGAACTGTCATCAAAAATAAGAATCCAAATGCCATCAGTGAAATAATGGCAATCCTTAATCTATAAAATGATTTATTAATAATGCCTTTAAATAAAATAAAAGAACTATCCTTCCCTGGTATGTCCCATTCTCTCAGATTCATGTAACCACTGGAGACTAATTTATGCACATGCATATGTGCACATACTCTTAATTCCAAGTTATTGACTTCTGAACTCTCCACTGCTTTAATGTCTTAGTTCATCTAGAGTAATGACATGTGGTTACAACAGTGCAGAATAAAACATAAAACCAAATACAGAACTTGGTATTTTTGGCAAATGCCTAAACAACATTTTCATAAATCTAGTTTTGCAGGAGCCATAAATTACATTTCTGTTAAAATCTAAGATATTCGTATAAAACTTTGCTATAAAAAGAGTAAGAATTTGTTTTATCTTATAAATAAATATACTTTATATATACTGCTACATGCTAAGTTAAAATTCTTAAAACATAAGTTTAATTAATGTGAATCAAATATGACTACATTCAGTTTCACATCTTCTGGATATTCACAGAAAGACAAATTCTGCCAATGAGAAACCTGATGAATATTTTAGAAACAACCAGTCACAGTGGGAGACTTGATACCTGTTGGCAAATGTGATCCCATTGAGCATTGAGATCCTTTAGCTCTGCCTCTATTCTGGAAGTGAATTCTGGCTCTGCTTCACTCTTCATTTTCTTTCCAACCTCATTAACACTGTTCAGACTGGGCTGGATTGTCTGGATATCATTTACTAAAGCCTAAAGGAATAGCAGAAGATTAGGCAAGCAGCATTCACACAAATTTCAGCTATGTTATCCTTATGAAAACATGTATACATGAGATTGTGATGTGTCTGTGGTCCAGATCTCCAGCCAAATGAGCACAGTCAACAAATATAACTATAAAAATACATTAAATAAATAAAAAAGGAATGGGCAGCTTTAATGTGCCAAGCTACGCTATAGCAAATGAAATTAATTTGCAAGATATACAGCATGAAAGTTTCAAATGTTATGTATGTACTATAAATTTACACATATGTAGTGTTATATCACATACATTACATCTTACAATACTTCCCTGGTTCCAGTCAAAAACATGAAAAATGCCTAGATCTTTTACTCACATTTGTCAAAGAGCATCCCACCATAATGATGAAAAATAATGATCATTCCTATCTAAATAATGGGCAAGAGAAAGCCTGAGGAGCTTGCAGGTCTGTGTATGTCTCATAATATTTACACATCCTGCCAGAACATTTAGAGAACTCGTAAATTCCACTCAACATGCAGACAGGGACCATCATGGACTGCAAGATTCACTGCACTCACACACTCTGTTGTACAGGCAGAGCAATGTGTAAACCCTGCGATGGAAGTATCAATACTTCATGATGCTTTAAAGCCCTGCTGGGATAAAATCCTGGAAGTTTAGTGAAAACAGAATGGATCTGATTCACAACACCTGCAAGTTCTCTTGGTACAGTCAGGAAAGTTTCTAAATCATGTGTGAGTAAAGAGATACAGAAAAAGATCTTCTGTACAGATTACAGAGCTTAAAACAAATAAATATGGAATGTTTGTAGACCCAGCAAAATAAATATTTGACTTCAGAGGTTACTAACTTAATATTTGCTGCAAGATGCTCTTTGATGCTTCGTCCTGCTATAAATACATAATGGCACTCTCACCCTGTGCCTCCTCCTGCCATTAAAAGTTTCCAAGTTTCCTTCAAACCTGGGAAATGCAAGAGGTTAAAACACACTGCAGAAGATAATCCCCTTACAACAGGAATTTATTTTTAGGAACAGTAAACATTTGTGCAACTTCTGTCTAAGCTAGGATCACAGAGAAGAACTGAGGAATGGCCAAGCAGGCAGGTAATACTCACTGTACATTGCTCAAGTTGCTTTTCCAGCGCTTCTGAATCTCCAAGGGCAGGCCACTCTTCCTTCAGGAAAACATCCACTTCAGCCATCCACTTCTTCAGTGTTTTGGTGTCATTCTGTTTATCAAAAAGACATTTCATTGCATCACACAGGACCTGACTGGCAAGAATGTAATTCGTTCTGGCACTACAACTAAAACTCATCCCAATGTAATTTCAAGATTATTGAACTGTCTGAAAAATACAAACACAGCAAACAAGCAAAACCAATTTTGCCTGGGACTGTCATCAACTCTTTAGCCTGTGCTTTGACCATTTCTGACCAAGTTGAATGAGTTTCCCAGTAGGGAAACTTCATGCCCACTAGGTATCATCTGTGTCTGAACACTGCATGATGTGCATTGGTCCCTTGCATGGCTTCAGATTGCTCACACTTCGCATTTATTTCACCTATCAAACCTCCTGTGCTTCCACTTAATCTTCAGACTTTTTTTGGCAGTTGCATATGCTCTATTGTCTATTTCTCTACCAGGACACAAGACAGAAAAGAGCCCTCACTATGCAGAATGAAAAACCCTATCAATGTAGCTGAAACAAATTCACTTCAGAAACTCAAATCACCTAATGAGTCATTTCAGAGAGTCTCAGTTACTGTTACTAACACGAGAATATTGAGATTATTTCCATTGCCTTCAATTAACCCTTGCAGTTCATAAAAAAAAATCTGATCAAATACTTGAAAAGAGGGAACACTACCAGTCCCAGGCAACATTATATAGATAATCCATTACCTTGAAAGGTAGAATAATATTTTTACAAATTACACTTAAAATTACCTTAAAATGCCACCTATGTACACAATTAGATGCACAAATTAAGAACAAATATGGCAAAAAATTTATATGTAAAGTATAAAACATTTTTTCATCAAACTGTTTTCATCAATAGTGAAATACATATTGATATAATATGCTGAATATAAAGCTGAATTAAAGCACAATAAAGGACATTTCATTAGAATACAGACTGTGTCCTGAAATATATACAAAAACACCTTAGCAGCTATAATGAGATAGGGAATCAGAGGGAATATTTCCCTAATGTGATTGATACATTTTAAAACAACAGACTCCCATGGAAAATGAACTGAACTAATAAAACCAATCATACAGAAATTAACACTATACTTCAGAATAAAAATTACCAAAACACTTTTGAAATGTCCACTGTGCATTTCATTATCCCTCAGTAAAAATAGTTCAGAATCATATTTCATGCTGAAACTTTAATACCTTTACAAGGATACATTAAGTACAGATCATTAGTGCGGTAAAATATAGATCTGATGGGATTTACTTCAAAAGAGATTAGTCTCCAGCTACCAATGAAGATTCAAATGTATGAGTCGCATTCGAATCAGGATGTAAGTGCATTATATTTATGGACACTGATTTCATCATATCCCATGCTGATGCATTCCATAAATTGCAACAGCTAAAACAATCATCTGGATGAGAAGTCATTCAATGAGCTGAAAAGACAATGACTTTTAGATTAAATGTGTACTAGAGTCATTTCAGCAATAGATATAAAGGCAAAGATTTGTATGCAACAACTCTGATGGCTTTAAAAATATGTGCCCTACAGAGCATGGGCATGATGTTCAGGACATCCTCCTTTGAAGAGCAGTGGGCAGACACCTACATTTGAACAGGAAGCAGGTTGGAAGAAGCAAAAAGACACAAATCAGCCTTCAGAATTGTCTTTGCAATATCCCATGAGCATGCAATTGTTCATTTGCATGGAGACCAGGAGAGAAAAAATACAGAAGAAAATTACTTTCTCCATTTTTGTGACTGATTGCTTTGAACTCCTCTGCAACTTGTCCCTTGAAACCATATGGAAATAGAAGTGGAATATATTAAGACTCTTTTAAGTCTTATACTACCTAAGTCATAGACATCCCCTGTAATGCTGATACATGTGATTTATAACTCAGTATAAATAGGAGATCCTCACAATGAGATAAAAGTGTAAGGTTCCATTTCTGCCATTCTAAATACCTGAAATACACTTCTGCTCTCTGGCAACTGCTGCCAAGATATTAGCATATAACAGATGACTGAATGTAAGTGATTCCATCAGTCAGGATGGTTACACCTACTTCAGATGCACGAATAAGTGCTTCAGCTATACTGAAAATGTAAGTAGAGGAGCATTAGTAGCAATCAAAGTGTTTTGCTACTGAAACACCATAGGCAGAAACAGCCACAAAAATCAGAATTTGGACCCATCAAAATCAAGCAAACATTTTAATCCATTTTATGTATTGTCCTGATATGGTGTTAATTTCTGGGAGTATATAAATGCCTTCTGTCCTAGTCCCACAGCAAGCAGCACCATGTATTAGCTGAGGCTGAAAAACTGACTGAACCTGGAATCTCTGGAGTTTGGTCATTCGCTCCTCGAGTTTCTGGCACTGCTCCACCAGCTGTGCTGACAGCTTCTTCCAGCGGCCAAGGATCACCTCCATCTCCGATCGATACTGCTGACTGACGTCTGAAGGGGCTTTCCTGGACAGATCTTCCACAGTTGTGCTGAGATAGTTCAGGCCTTTCTGCTGCTCTTGCAGAGAACTTTGTAAAGCCTATGAATAAGAAGCAAGTAGTATCCTGATCCACGTGCCAGGCAATTCTCTTTGTGCCACAGACAGGCAAGAAAATCAGGTCACCTTTGTGAAAATGCAATGGGACAATCTACTGAGCAACCTAGAATTGCTTTTCTCACACAAACCAGAAAGTAGATTTTTTTTCAACTGAACTGAGAATACAACTAGAGGTGCTTATACTAGTCAATGGAGGTGATCTACATACACTTCATTAATTTGAGATAGGAATTTATTATAGCCCTAATCTTTACACTTTCAGGAGAATCAGACACTACATGGAGGAAAAAGAGTAAACTTAGAGAACTGCTACTGTGATTCAAACTTTTTGTTAAGTACTCAAAACATTCGCAATTCTCAGCCTAAATTTGTTGCATCTAGGTTTCTTCCTATATTCTACTTTCTGTTTCTGAATGTGCATCAAATAACATCTCATTAGCCATCCTATAGTAGAACAATATCAAACACTGAAATACAGGGAAGGTTTGTACCCACTGGCAAAACTTGTTCCACATCTGTGTCTGCTTGTAAATTTGACAGGAAATCTGACAGAGCCCATACTGCAGTTTGCAAATCAGAATTGTTTCCATGTCAGCACTGGAAAATTAAGTGAGCTAAAACCTGTATTTAACTATCAGAGCTATCATCAAAGGAATATTTTATATACCATGGGGACAAAGACTTTCCTTAACATATTCAATATCTTCTAAAATTGGTTTCAATGGTGAGCACCACTTTAAATTCTTTAAGAATCAATCTAAGTAATAAACCCCCACTTCCTGAAGCCCTTGACTAAACCCCA